ACCTCCTTCAAGCTTATGTCACGGTCAGCGGCCCCCGCTGCCCCCCCATCTGCCAAGCCTCTGCCACCTCCTTCAAGCTGCAACCAGGAACCAACATTCATATCTTCAAGCAATCATCTCACTAACTAAATCATTTCTTTCCATTTCAAGTTTCTGTCTCTGTCTGCTTTTTATTTTATGTTGTTCTGCTTTGTGTGTGATTTTCTGTTTATCTGTTTCTGTTATGTTCCTCTCATTTCTCAGTCTGCTTCTCCACTCACTCCTCAGTCTGCCTCTCCACTCACTCTTTATCATTCACACCTGTCACTCATCAGCCACCTGCCCAGGTGCTCTCATTACCCACTCTCCCTCTGTCTCATAAAAAGCCTGTCTCTCCTGCACTCCTTGTCCGGTGATTGTTCTGGGTTTACAGACATTCTCAATCCTCTTCTGCCTTGTCTGGTTTCTGTCCCCCTGATGATCTGCTCTGCCTGGTTTCTTATCCAGTCTGCCAAAAGTAAGTTTTGCTGCACCGACAGCCCTTTTTGTTTTGGTATTAAAAATAAATTATTTTTATTTTTGAACTCCTGCCTCACTCATCTCTCTGCAATTGGGTTCCAACATTGAGGATCGTGACACAAACATGGGTTCGTGCCAAGTTCATGTGTGCACCACTGCTCCAGCTCAAAATACATCGTCAAGAAAGTTATTTTTCTTCTTTGGTGTTTTATGGCAGATTGCATCCACTCTGCTGCATTACCGCCTCTTTGAGACTGAACCCCATGCCTACATTTCGGTAAAGGAAGTTTGACTGACATGAAACGTCAATTTGTCAATCTGCGTTCAATTACTCAGTGACTTCTCAAGGATCTTGATCTGTGACACAAAAAATTAATTTTGGAATTGAAATTGAAATATAGAACTGACAAAGAAAGTAGTCTGACTTTTCAATACAACATAATACAGTTTCAAAGCAAATGAATTCAGGTTCAAACCCATAAATTCAGTTTAAATTTAGTGAAATTAATTTTCAAACCAATGGATTTAATTTCAAATAACGTGAATACAAATTCAGTATGAGCAATTCAGTCATTTTCTGATGACACAAGTTTCTACCCATACATTTCTGCATTTATTAACTTTTAGCATTTTTTAACTTTTAGCAAATGCTTGCTTATTTTAGCTTTTAGCCACAGTTAATTTGAAATGTTAACTCTGACTTTACCAGTTTTAGCCTTTAGTTACTGTTTTGCTAAGTGTAACATCTAGCTATTGTTTTGCCAGTTGCAATTATGTTTGTTTGTTTTGTAATCTTAACTCCGTTTCCGTTTCTTTCAGAGTCCTTCAACTTTCAGATTTCACAGCATATTTACACAGAAAACAGTGGATCATATTAATCTTGAAAAGGATGCTTCAATGTAAAATCTCCTCTCTGATATTATTTTCACACTGACACCAATGAAGACAAGAAACCTCTGCAACAATAACTTCACTAATACCTCCACACACGTAATCTGTTGGTTTTCCATGTTGGCTCCCATCACACTAAGCCATGGAAGACAAGAGGCGATGGATTCAACTAGCTGTTTGGTATGAACGGCGCTTATGGCCATAATTTGTCCTCTCATATTTTGTTAATAAGACACTAACTTGAAGTCTTTTTCTGAAAGTGAAAAAAAGCCGGGTTTACAGGCTTTAAACCTAATCTTTTCTTTTCTTTGTTGTTCCCCATTTCAAAGAACAAAGGTGAAATCGGAAATACAATCCATCTGTTCATGATTGTTGTAAGCATGATAACTAGAATATTAAGTGATATATACAGACCCTTTCCAAAAAATTAGAATATCATGTAAAAGTTGTTTAACTTCCATAATTACATTCAAAAAGTTAATCTTTAATAGATGATAGATTCAGAACCCACAATTTAAATGAATTCAAGTATTTATTTGTTTATTTTTACATAATTTGGGCTTCCATCTCATGAAACCCATGAAAACAGGATTTCAAAAAAATTAGAACACTGTGGAGAAATCTGCCCAAATTTTGCAGGGCATGAATGTTTTAAACTGAGTGTGACACATTAATCATCTACTAAACATAAAGTACCTGCAGAGGTTTCCCCAGGTGTCATTAAATTGCTTCAGTTTGGTTCAATTGTCTCAGTTCTGTCACAGTTTACACCCTGTTTTTCCTTTTACTCATCACTCTGTTCACTGATTGACTTTTTCTTCTCTGCTCTGCTGGGGTTTCCCCTCTGCTGCTTCTGCCAGCCTCTTTGCATGCCACATCTCTCTCTCTGATTGCTGCTGATGGTTTCCACCTGTTTCTGGGTGTATATATACTTCCGGCTTTCTCCACTACGTTGCCAGATCAACTGATCGCTTTCAGCAACAGTTATCCAGTGTATTCTCCTTGTTCACAGCTCTTGAATCTTGACCCACGCCTGTTTCCCTCGACCACGCTTTTTGCCTGTCCCTTTTTGTGCCTCAGCCATCTGACTTTGTTGACGACCTACACCTGTTATTTTGGATTCCACCTTTGCTTCTCCTTATCGGTACTGTCTCCTCTTCGGATCCCGTGTAACAAACCCTGCTCGCCCTCGACTACGCCTCTGGACTTCCCTTGGTCTCTGCAGCCACTCAGTTTCTCAGCTGTCACCCCGCCACAGCCGCAGCCACAGCCGCTCAGCTCCTCAGCTGTCACCTCTCATGGTGGCGTCACACCTGCAGCTCTGTGTCTCTCTGCTGGAGCGCTCTATTACAACAAAATTTTAGTTTTTCACCAGACAGTCTGTATTCAGATAACTACTCGTTATTCTGTCAAACACTAACCTTTCCCCTCTGTATCATTTTAGATACAGTTCCTGCCCCTGGACCCGAGACACCAGAAGCTGTTTATTTCCTCAATAAACATTTTAAAAACCTTTTTGAATTTGTGTGTAGGATCTTCTGCCATCAGATCCTTGACAAGTTCGGTTCAATATGGTGAAGACTGCAGACATAACTGACCAGAAGACCATCATTGATACCCTCCATAGGATGGGTAAGCCACAAAAGTTCATAGCTAAGGAGGCTGGCTGTTCACAGAGTGCTGTGTCCAAGCATATCAATTAAAAGTCTAGTGGAAGGGCAAAATGTGGCAGGAGAAGATGCAGCAGTAAAAGAGATGACCGTGGGCTTCAGCGTATTATCAGAGAAGATTCCAGAATCTGGCAGAGATCCAGAAAGAGTGGAATGAGGCGGGAGTCACAGCTTCAAAAACCACCACATTCAGACACATCTGGGAGATGAGCTACAACTGTTGGGTTCCTCAGATCAAGCCACTTCTGAACCTGAGCCAACATATCAGTTTCCGACAAAAGTAAAGTGTGCCTTTCATTCGGAAATCAAGGTCCAAGGGTTTGGAGGAATAACGGTGAGGAACAGAACCCATACTGCTTGAGATCCAGTGTGAAATATCCACAGTCAGTCATGATTTGGGGTGCAATGGCCGGTGCAGGTGTTGGTAAACTCTGCTTTCTTAAATCCAAGGTCACCGCAACTGTCTACCAGAATGTTTTAGAGGACTTCATAATTCCTTCTGCTGAGGATCTGTATGGAGATGCAGATTTCATCTTCCAGCAGGACATGGCCCCTGCCCATGCTGCCAGAAGCACCAAAACCTGGTTTGATGTCCATGCCACAGTGCAAGACTGGCCAGCCAACTCACCAGACCTAAACCCCATTGAGAATCTATGGGGTATTCTCAAGAGGAAAATGAGGGGCACCAGACCCAACAACAAAGAAGAGCTGACAGCAAGCATCAAGGAAATCTGAACTTCCTTAACTCCCAGTCAATGCCACAGGCTGATTGCCTCAATGCAATGTTGCATCGAGTCAGTGATTAAGACAAACGGATTCCCAACAAGTATTGAAGACTGACATCATTTTGAAAGTACCAGAAACTGAGAAGTACTGTGGGCTGATTTATTCACAGTATTCTAATTTTTTTGAAATCCTGTTTTCATGGGTTTCCTGAGCTGGAACCCCAAATTATAAACAAGTAAATACTTGAAATTGTTTAAACTGTGGGCCTTGAATCTATCATCTATTAAAGATTACCTTTTTGAATGGAATTATGGAAGTTGAACAACTTTTCCATGATATTCTAATTTTTTGGAAAGGGTCTGTATATATATATATATATATATATATATATA